GCTCGTGTCCACGCCCGTGTTCACGCTGCCGTCGCCCCCGCCGAGCGCCGGCTGCCTGCGCTGCCTGCGCGTGCTGCGCCACCCGCCGCCGCCCGACGCCACGCACCGCGCCGCGCTCCGCCCGCTGCCGCAATGAGACGTGCTTCCTCTTCGTCCAGGAGTCCGAATTAGGAAGGTGGCGGCAAGGCTCTAGAGGCGAGGGGGTAGCTGATTTACAACGCAACCCACTCCAGGCCCGATTTTGAGCACTTCAGCTTGCGTAACTTATCTCGAGAATCGCTGCATCGTTGCAGCCGTTAATGTCACTACGCTAGGAGCTCCCCTCACCCTCACCGCAATCCAGCGGACAGCAGTCAGGGCAAGAAGTGTTTTTTGTTGCGGGCCAGCGCAATGAAGCGGTATCTTTCGGACGAGGCGCTCATTGTCGTAGCCCAAGGCGCGTCTTCCAAAAGCTTTGTTGTTTACCTTCATTGATAGCGATGCAAGCTTGCCACCCACGCCATGCTTTGCGAAGAGGAAAAGGCCAAGGAGGCTCTCAGAGGTCGAAGCTACCTTTTGATACACAACAACTCTCGCACCTGCGACGCATGCCGCCAGTCAGTGAGTCTCGAGTGCTTTTTACGGGTGATAGCCGTTGTATGGATTACCGTACAGTACCCACCTTCTGAGAGATATCACATGCACTCGCCTCGCGTAATGTCCGTAAAACCTGTGACCACTCGCAGCAGCTCTTTCAAGACAAATGCGACACTAACATTGAATAACTGGACCCTCATCCAGAACGCTCCTCTGCTCCCACGTTCCCCCCCTTCCACACCAAGCACTATCCGGCACTGCTCAACTCCTGATCGATATGGAGGCCAGTCTGGATGGCCGTGCTTCTGTTCGCCCTTCCTTCGTCCTCACCCAAATATGCGCTTCACGGACAGCAACTACTCGTACTCCATTCAAGTCAGGCATCAGGTTGCTCTTCCTTGAAACTGACCCTCTAGAATGCCATCAAGGATGTACGATTGGCCTACATTTTGTGAAGCCTAGTTCATGCACTTACTCTGGCTAGCTAGTGTCTCTAGATGACAAGCTCCTTGTAGGAGAGACTCAAGACCTTGGTCATGTTTACTGTGGGAGGAGCGACGGGGGTGTTAAGTGCCGGTGGAGCTATGTACACGTGTAAGATACGACACTCCTTAGCTCTCCCGTGAGGCCGGCTTTTTTCGGCATTGAATTGCAAATCAATGAAGCCAATTTGGACACCATGCCCTGAGCAATAACATCGCGCAAATCGCCGGGAAAGCAGTTTTAACTACCTAGAAGACTAAAAATTTTAAGCATTTAAGGCAAGTCTCCTTTTTAAACAGGTGTCTTGGTTTCGAAGTCATCTACGCAAAACGGCTTCAAGGTTACTTAAAAAAGCTTCTTTGCCAGGCATTTCTAAAAACGATTGGAAACGACATGCAGTTCTCACAAAGAAACTCCATCCTTCTGAAACGCAGAAGTCCAAATATGGTGGTGAGGGTATATTCCACCTTGTTATGGGAAAAGTACAAGTCCAGAACAAACAAGGCTTGTCAAAGAGACACTAGTATATGAGGATTGAAAGACAACTAGAGACGCTAGAGTGTATTCACTGCCGCTCTCCTCCAACGCGCCACGTCTTGATTGCTTCCAGTTGGGCACGTACGGTTCGTGTTCGCTGCGCACATCATGAGAGCGGAAGCGGTTTAGGTAACAGGAGGTAAAGGGGGTTGCCGGTGTTGTCGGACAGTGACAAAAAGTTCGGACATGCAAAATATTTGTAAGAAACATCCTTGACACGGGCCAAAGTGCGGCACCGCCGCCTAACAGCGCCAGAAAGTGCGCTGTATCTCATAACGAAGTGGATGAAATTAAAAAACAAATATCCCAATCGATTGCGCACAGCGTTTTACGTATAGGAGTGTAACAGCCAGAGCACACAAAACAGGCGGACTTTTCAAATTCTCGTCCGGTATCCCTTCGACCTATTCCAACTCACTGTCAACTCAATTCACAGCATTCCGATATACACATAAACGCCAACTACTTCTAACTTCTATACCTGCCCTTCTGGACCACTTTTGGCATCTCGCGAATGAAAAATGCCGCCTGCTTCGCGTGAACAGCGCATTATGGCTGCAATGAAAATGGTCACAGATGGCCAAACCTACAGGCAAGCAGTAGAACGACACCAAATCCCCAGATCCACAATTGCAAGCCGCATACAAGCTGCCTCTCCCTCCTCGCAACGAATTCGAAAAATCCGAGCTGGTCTCCGCACACTCACATCAGTTGAGGAAGACCTTGTGCTTAATCTCATAACTCGCTCTGCTGAACGTGGATTACCTTTAACGCGGAGACTTGTCAAAGAAGCAATCGAAATTATCATAAGTCGTATGACTCCTGCACGTCGCCTCGTGCTCAAGTTTAAGGGAGGGACACCGGGAACAAGATATCTACGTAACTTTCATCGCCGCCACAGGGACAAGATACTGTTCTCCAAGCCACTGAGGGAAGAAGCCGTTCGATTTCATGCATGTAACGGTGACGCTTTAACGACACATTTTGCTCGTCTTGAAAAAATTATTCAAGAGCACAACATCGACAGCCCAAGGATCTGGAACTGTGACGAAACAGGCGCAACACCCGGGCGAGATGCAAATGGAAAGCAGACTTCACGTGTATATGTCACCAGAGCGGGGGCGCGCGACGCCAAAATCGGACATTTTCTGAGCACAAACAGGGTGACAATGCTTCCAGCGGTGAGCGCAGACGGTGAGACAGTGCCACCGATGTTTGTATTTAAAGGCTCGCGGCTTCCATACCGTGTTGTGGTTCAAGACGGCATGAAAGCTGTGCAGACATACGCTGATTGCTTGCCCCGAGGGTCAATCGTATCAATGAGGTCCGAAGGCGGTGGCGTCGATACAAAAAATTTCTTAGAATGGTGCAGGCATTTTATCTCGAACGTGAGGGATCTGACTAGAGGTGGCCGTAAAGTGTTGCTGATACTGGATGGATATCGGTCACACATGTCTCTTGCAGCTCTTGAGATGTTGGACTATAATGATGTTATCGTTTATGCACTACCCGCCCACACATCAGGCAAAACACAACCTTTGGATGTGACAATTTTTTCTCCTTTTAAGGGTGCTTTGAACGACGCTATAAATTTAGCCGTGGCAAAGGATGAACAAAACAACTGGGACGCATTCGCATTTTCCAGCATGTTGAGGTACGCCTACAAAAAAGCGTTTACGAACAGTAATATTATCTCTGCGTTTCGCCGTTCTGGTATATGGCCATTAAATGCGCATCAGCTTCTATCTATTCCACGCCCTCAGAGCCATATGCACCAGGTGATGATGTCAGTGACGGAGCTGGAGCAATTGCTGGAAGTGCGGCGAACAGAAATACGTCATTCAGTTTTGGGTTCTGATGTGAACCTGAGTCATAGTGGTTTTGTTGATACGACTAGAGGTCAGATGCTGACATCATTTAATGCTATGAATTTAGCGAGAGAGAAATACCGCAATGATGAGCGGCGCAAGCTGACGGAAGCAGCAAAGGCTGCAGAACTGTCTTTGCGGAAAGCTCGTCGCACAGAAAGGGCACAGGCGGAAGCAGTAAACTTTCGTAATGCGCGATGGGCGAAGCGAGCGGAACTTGCTGGCATGGCAATTGGGGTGTTTAAGAAGCGAGTGAGGTCGCTTCGAGAGCGGAGAGCCATCGCACGTCGTATGGTAATTATGAGGAAGCAGAAGACGTTTCGAAATGGGCACAATTTTTGAGCAAAGTGACGGGTTTGATGTGGGATCGGTGACGTGGCGAATAATTTTGTTTCCAAAAAATAATGTTGTATGAGGAAAATGTGCTTGCATTTCCGATCTTTGTGCTCGGTTGGGGCGCAAAAGTGTCCGCGTGCTTCAATCTCACTCCTCTTGTGTGTCCGTGGTTGTTTTGGCCAAGTCCCACTGGACGACGGGCTGACAGTGTCCCCGTCGCAAAACATAAAAAACGGTGATTGTTTGACAATTAGAAGTACTTTTTCCTTTTAATATTGAGGTTTTTGTCCGACGTCTTCAGCACCCCCCCTTTACCCTCCGTATGACGTGGTGCACAGGAGGTATTCAAAAAAAATGGACCATGTCTCAACACCTTATCGTAAGGTGTTCGCGTACAAATGCGCCATGCGCGTCACGGTAAGTTTTTCCTGGATGCTACAGTACAGTCTTGATTACAGTCATGATAGCATACAGTTACAGAAAAAATCTTGAAACAAATCAAATTATAAATCAAAACTTCATGAAATAAATCTCAAAACAATCACTTTTGTCGGCGGCGTGTACACGGACTGGAGAGAAATTAAAGGCGTGGAAGGTGAGGGAAGGTAGACCGTGGGGTCAGGGTCACACACAAACCGTTTCCCTAGTTCCAAGTCAAGTCAGCCACCAAACCTTGCACGTTGGTTGTACTGATGAGGCGATGTCTCTGTTCATCTTTCTATCTCTCCCTCTCTTGCAGAAGCCTAGTGGCCTCACGCCGTCGTCATTGAAGGGCTGTGATTCGTGTACTAAACGCTGACGTGCGTGCGTGTATGGTTATCGATGCTGTATACAGGAGACGTTGATGCTAGGTACAATGACACTTGAAGGTACCTTTCCTACTATTTGACAGGTCGCCGGAGACATGAAGAGCTGGAGCATTGCGCTGGGGCTCCCTACATGTTGCACTGTCTCGTGAAAAACCAGCTCAGTTAGAGAAGAGAAACCGAAGAGAAACCGGGACGCCGCACCGCTTGCATGAGATCTGCATCAAAAGATTTAAAGTCAGCTACAATACAAGTCTTAAGAGAGCCTATGCACGATATGAACATTTAACACCAGAAACCTCCAAAATGACAGCTCCAACAAAACACAGCCTTGGCAATTAATACCTTCTAGACGATGTGGTCCTCGACACGTAAAGGGACACCGACCAGTATTATATACAGGCGAGCGGCCTCGGGCGGGAGTGGAGCGGCCAAGAGTGGCCGAGGTGGCATGCGGGGAAGCAGGACGCCATGTTGCGGTAAGGTCGCAGATCGCCGACGTCGGTTGCGGAACGATTCGATGGCCCAGCCGAGGAAGGCGGCGATAACGACTGCGGCGATGGTGGACGAGGCCCCGATGATGGGCCCTAGCCAATTCCAGGGGTCGTTCTCCGGTGTCTGGGCGGCAGGAAGCGGGACGGCCGATGCCACAGGTACGGACAGGGCCCAGGTGAAAATAATTGCGAGGACAGGGAACTGGCAGAGTTGATGGGCAACAGCGTAGAGCATTTTGGTTGCACTCGGGCTTAGGGTGTGGGGATGGGGCGTGCTACGGTAGGATGAACTGAGGAGGTTGTTGTTCTTCTGCGTGTGAGATGCGACTGGCATCGCATCGTGCGAATGCGCGTGCGATGCAGTGCCCCCTGAAGTATGCACGGACGAAAGCAGCTTTGCGTAGACGGCGTCCCCTGTAGTCGACGATGGCTCCTTTGACGCGCGCTGCAGCATGACGGCGACGACGTCGTGCGAGGAAAGGTCGTGCGCCTCGTACTCCATGGCAGACGCGCCCATCCCGAGCTTCAGGCGCAGGCGATGGCGGATGTTGAGGACGTAGCGACGAGGACGTGGAGAATTGCAAAGACGGTCGGAGGGGTTGAAAGGAGGGTGGGGGATCGGTTGGTGCGGTTTTAGTAGGGAGTTGTCAACATGTATATATAGGGGCGTAAGAGTGGGTTTATGCGGGGTAGCAATGTATGGGGCGGGTTTCGGGGACACATGTCAATGTATGGGGCGGGGTTCGGGAAGACACATGTCAATGTATGGGGCGGGGTTCGGGAAGACATTTCTTTGATGACATATTGATACACGTAGCAGGGTGGCGGTCGGTGGGGGTCGGAAACGCATTTGGTACAGTACTGAATCAATAGTGTAGGAAACACGCGTTCACGCCTAGACGGTAAAAAAACCGATTTAGTATTGAATGTCGTCGCCTTCCTTCACGCCTGCCTTCACGCCTGCCTTCACGCCTGCCTTCACGCCTGCCTTCACGCCTGCCTTGACGGCTTGACGGCTTGACGGCTTGACGGCTTGACGGCTTGACGGCTTGACGGCTTGACGGCTTGACGGCTTGACGGCTTGACGGCTTGACGGCTTGACGGCTTGACGGCTTGACGGCTTGACGGCTTGACGGCTTGACGGCTTGACGGCTTGACGGCTTGACGGCTTGACGGCTTGACGGCTTGACGGCTTGACGGCTTGACGGCTTGACGGCTTGACGGCTTGACGGCTTGACGGCTTGACGGCTTGACGGCTTGACGGCTTGACGGCTTGACGGCTTGACGGCTTGACGGCTTGACGGCTTGACGGCTTGACGGCTTGACGGCTTGACGGCTTGACGGCTTGACGGCTTGACGGCTTGACGGCTTGACGGCTTGACGGCTTGACGGCTTGACGGCTTGACGGCTTGACGGCTTGACGGCTTGACGGCTTGACGGCTTGACGGCTTGACGGCTTGACGGCTTCACGCCTTCACGCCTTCACGCCTTCACGCCTTCACGCCTTCACGCCTTCACGCCTTCACGCCTTCACGCCTTCACGCCTTCACGCCTTCACGCAGCCCTTTCCCATCCAGCCCAAGTGTGACCCCTTCACGCCTGCCCCGTCATTACAGCATCGGTCCCTCCTAGAATTTGAATAAAAATCGTACAAAACAAAAACCGGCCAAGTCAGTCAGAGCCGCTCGACAACCTAACCTAACCAGGGACGACCAACAACCAAAAACCAAAAATCCTACCAGCCTCGTCCTGCGCACCACGTCAAACCCGAGCCGCTCCAGCCGCCCCACCGCGTCCGGCACGAGCCGCTTCCACGCGGGGTCGTCTCGAAAGTACCGCTCATGAAACTCGATGAGCAGCTGATCGGCCGACGACACGTACCCGTCGCGGCTCCACCTCTCAACGACGCCAAACTCCGCGCCCTCCGCGTCTATCTTAAGCACGGCGAGGTGTTCATGACCCGCGCTCCTAAGCATGCTACTCAAGCTCAGCACGGGCACGGACACCACGCTACCAGCTTTCGCCTCCTCCGCAAACTCCATAACCGTGTAGCTATCGCCGTTGCTCTCCGGCAGCTTGAGCGTCAGATTCCCGTCCTGCGCCGCGAGCCCGACCGCATGAAACCGGAACCCGTCCGGCGGCGGCGACCTTCGTGTAAAATCAAGCGCCGTCGGCGTCGGGTCCCACCCGTGGTGCCGCGTCCCGTACGCAACCATCATCGCCTTGTCCCACTCCATGTTCCGCCCGACGCCCACCGTGTACACCGTGCGCCCGCGCAGCCCGCCGCGCGCGGCCGGCGGGCACACGTACCACCCGCCGTACGCGTCGCCCAGCCGCTCCGGCTCGCGGCAGTCCAGCGCGGCGCGCCGCGGCGCGCCGGGCAGCACCAGCGCCGCCGTCGCCGCCAGCATCGCCGCCGCCGCCACCGGCGCGTACAGGCGCAAGCGCCCGCGCAGGCGGAAGGGATGCCGGGCCGCGCCGCCCGGCATCTCGCGCCACGCGGGGGCTGGGGCCGTCGCCTCACGGTGGGGGGACGGGGG